AATTACATTTGCCATTCAGATATTTGGCTGAAGTAGCACTTGTAATTCCAATGGAGCACAGAACCCAGATACATCCTCCAGATCAATTTCAAAATCCTTAATTATTTGCTTATGTACAACCAATGCAGACTAGGAAGTTGTTAGATAATATACATTCAGCCTACTGCAAATGGATATTTGCATATTTGCAATTTAGATTCAATCATTTCATTTTATTACTTATATGCAATTTGTGAGACCACAGTGTGGATTTTTTTTCAGTGCAGGAAAAAGTTGCATATATTTATTTGTGAGACTGGGCTGGAAGTGCCAATACAAAAATGCTCAGCCGGCTTTGAAGCCAGGCTAGCCTGGATCCAGCTGTGCAGTGCAAAAAGGACTTGAGGACCATTTCTCCACCCCCACGTCGCACCAATTCACCCTTCCTACCCCTTGTTGGCATTAGTGATTGGTGGATTGTGTCATGTGCTGTGTACCAGGAGCCAGGTCATGTGGACATTTGGAATGATCTTCGGGTTCAAATTTGACCTGTGAGCTTCATTTATGGTCCACATACACAAGGTCTCTTTCATTGTGCATTGAGTTTAAAATTTTAAAACATCCTTAACAGTCTGGACAAATGAAATCCACCATGATTAATACAAGCAACAAATAATTCATACCAGTATTTTGACTTCTCTGCTACAGCACTGATGATTTGACCTGTTGACAGATGACAAGCTGCACATTGTGACAGGAGACCAGATGCGCCTGGTTCTGAGGAGTAGGCAGCAGGTTGAAACGGCTCTTTTGGACTTTCACAACGAACTTAACCACCTCAATGTCAGCAAGTGTCTCAGACTGCTCAACGAAAGGTTTTTACATGTTTATTTTTCCCTACATGTCATAAATTACTTGTAGTTATCATGCAATCATTGTTCACAGTTTGATGTTTGACAGGTATTACTGGCAAACAATGAAGCCTGATGTGGTTCAGTGGATCAACAACTGTTCTCGGTGCAGCCTGAAGATGAAAAAAAAGCCCTGTCGTCGAGCAGAGGCAGATAGATCTGAGATGCAGTCTCTGACTTCTGCAGAACATGCCTCACACAGGTGATCTGGTTCCAGCTATTGTATTATTGTTGAAGGCAGGAATATAACACTCTCGACACGTATTGGCACCTCTGACAAGCCTATTAAACTTCACTTTTACTGCATTATTCATGTACAGGGTGCTTTACAGGAAAACAAAGTAAAACACAAAATACAGTAGTAAACATTTAAGCATCTCATAAGATGCTTTAAGATTAGGGTTGTCTTGATGTCTTGATACCAGTTTTTTTCAGACCTAGTACAGGTACTTCAGTTTAGGTACTCACCAAGTAATTAACAAATTAGTACTCATAATCCACACAATAACTTTTGAAAACAAGTTCATTTTATTTAGAACAAGGTGGTTTAAAAAAGCATCTGTGAGTACCTAAACTGAAGTACTGGGACTTGATCTTAAAAAAACTATTTGCCAGAATTTAAATCCACAGCCCGGCCCGAATTTTGGGTTAACCATTAGTTCACTTTATGCTTCTTTATTAACACATGTTCCAGTGCTGTTCTAGCTGCCATGTATGTTGTCGTCTCATTCCTGGTCTGGCAAATCTCACAATCACAGTAACAATCTCAAGATAACACAGTTCTCTGTTATTTCTTTTTCTTCCTAAAACACATGGGTGCATACTTTTCTGTTTTTTGACAAAAGAGGCACGTTGCTGTCTTAGCTTCACATTCATCCGCAATACAAGTGTTGATTCCACATCTATAACACTGGCTTGCTCTAGGCTGAATCTCTCTTCTCTCGCTTTTTCATGACACATTTCTCCACTATCTGATCCTGTATTATATCGTTCTCCAGTGTGCCCAAGTCACGTGATTTCGGTAGTTTTCTTGACGCATTCATGAAAGCATCCACTGACTTTTCAGGGCACTGAGCTCTCTGTCTGAACATGTGTTGATCTAGGACTACATGACTCCAAGGAGTAAAGTCTGCATCTAGCGAGGCAACAGCCTGAGCAAATGTACCTTTGTCTCCCAGTAAATTAGGAAAGATCCTCTGCATTGGCGCTCCTATGCAATGCAGCAGAGTGGTTCTCCTCATCAAATCCTATACATGAATAGTTCCACTTGCGACTTTGAAGAAACTGTAAGAGTCTTTCCACAGTTTATACTCCATGAATAAATCAGATGCTCCAAAATTCAGTGGAACTGGCTGGACCATCTACACGAAACTGGGTCAGGCCCAGTTTCGTGTAGATGGTCCACCTACATGGGCCCTGGGGACACATGTATAAAAGAGTGTGCAGCTTTCACACTAAAAATTGACATGCAGACAAATTGTGACAGGTGCCATGCACAAAAAAACTCATGTATAAAACCGTGCAAATGCACATGGCATGCTTTTCTTTTATACATTCCTATTTGAGGGTAAGAGACCTGGCGGGCCACCTGCTGGCACGCCCTGTCGTCACCCATAAGTACGTATGAAAATTAGTATAAATACCTGGAAAACTGCCATCATGTGTCCCAGTAACCATGGCAACAGTGCTTGCTTGTTGTAGTATGAGTAGTTTTAATAGTAATTCTATATTTTATTTAAAGGGCTCCTTTGATTACATATAAGGTCACCTCACAAAAAATAACATCAATTATGCAGCACACCTTTGCGCAGCTTTTTATATATGTGTGATTATCTACACACCTTGATCCCCTTCACATAATCAAGGTTTGGAATTAATCTGCTGGTCTGACCCCGTTTTCTTTTTCAGTGAGACTTAAAATGTCCCACAGATAACATGCATTTCATGTGCTTTGGTGATTTGTAGTTTATTTTTTTTTATTTATTTTTTTTATTTCCTTTATTTAACCAGGTAAACCCCATTGAGATCTAGATCTCATTTTATTGTCCACATAAAAAAGTTTGCGCGGCTGCTGCAGATTTTCACGGCAGGTAAACATTTTGTGTATATTTACGCAAACTTTCATCCCACTTTAATTTTTATACATGCCGACTTGCAGTAGCGGAACAAGTCAGAGTCGGGCCGGGGGGCGGGGCTAATGACCGGGCCCTTTATATCTAAATAATAAAGCTCATGATAACATAACTTTACAACATAGACATGCCTGCAACAGCTAAGCGTACAAGTTTCACCACCACAGACAGTGACTGTCATTCTGAAACCCATCAAACAGACAGGAAGTACAACAAACCAAGAGAACAACAGAAACATCAGGCTACATGGCCACTAATCAAGAAACGACAAATTCAAATCAGTTCAGAACCACGGATAGCACGATCGGATCATTTTCACACTTTATTTCAACTCAGAGCCTGGAACAGCTAGCAACCAGCACAATGAACCGAGCATGAAGCTCGGTTCATTGTGCGTGTTGACCCGCAGTGCAGAGAGTATATTGACCAGAATGTCCTGGACTGTTGCTAACTTCCTGCTTTTGAAACGGTCTCTAGGCAGGTTGCATTCAGACAGGTTTTCTACCGTTTTAGAGTTCACTTCAACTGCTCTGAGACCTAGGTTTTCAGGTGGATCAGAGTTCGGTTTTTAAGTCCGTTTTGGAATTCAAATTTGTAATCAGACCTCCCCAAAAACTCGGAATTCCTAGACAAATGGATTAGAGACTGATTCAGGATTCTAATCCTGGGTTGGTCTGAATACAACCTAAGGCACAGGTTGGTGACTCCTTCTCTAGATCAGAAAATTGTAGCTCCGCAAATCCTTGTGCAACAAGCCTTGCTTTTGGTAAGCCTTCCATATTCAACCTCTTTCAGAATGCACAACTAGAGACACACTTTTTTCCATTGTCCTCAGTTTCTTCAAAGACGTGGTTTTGTTTCCTGTTTTTTTATTTCATTTTCCTTTGCTTCATGAATTGACATGTCCTTACTCACAAAAATATCCTTGTGTGTATCCATATCAAGAACTGTTGTGATGTGAAGATATGTGATAAATCAGCTGAGTGACTGTTGTCAGCCACTTTTGCAGGCTCAGCCAACTCCAAGCTATACTTCTTGCTTTGCCAGCACGATCCAGCACTTTGGCTTTTTGTGAGACACCCTCTGCATTTCTGAATGTTAAAATTTGACCCGTGTCTATGATGGTGTTTCCAATGTGCTGTCTCTCAGTCGCTGCATTTTCCGGAGCAGACAAAGGTTCATTCTCAGGATTTACTGCATTTGTGTCTCCTACTTCCTCTTCAGTGATATTGACTGTATGTTGTCCTTAATTGTTCTCCTCATCGCAGGTAATCAGAGGTTCTGCCTGTGCTCATGAGTAGCTTTTCTTAAATCTGAATTGGTGCCTCTCTGTCTAATAAAAAATACTGCACCATCTTGACCACTGACCACTCCTGGTACATTCCATAGTGGAAAGTACCAGGATGGAAAGTACCAAGTACCTCCTCGTAAGCAGGTGTTGTCTTAACTTCGGTATTAAAGTTCTTAGCCTTGCCTCTCACTTCCTCGTTATTAAACTCATGACCGTAGTCACTGAACAACTATTGTGGTATGTCATGCGCACTGATCCAATCAAAGATAAAATGTTTGACTGTTTCAGAGACCTCTCGGTGTTTAAGACTCTAACCAGCACTGAAACAGGCAAACCGATAAGAAACTCCAGGTTCAAGTTCATGCAGATTTACAGCGACTGTTTCATTATGTAGATGCTAATGGTAAGCCGACAACAGGTTTTGGTTTGATCTTACAATATTTCTGACTCACTTCACACTGGTTCACTTTTTCAGCAAACTGTCACATTCTGTGTCTGTTTTGCTAGAATTAGTCACAAGTCTGTATTTTATTAGCAGAGGCATGCCCAAACTATTTATAAAGTTTCTCCAAAATGTTCATCTTTTCACTTGTGTTCATCTCGCCACACGGTGTCAGTATTTCTTCCTCAGTAGCACCGACTAGCTTATCAGAGTGAGTGCAATTTTAATTTTACTTTATTTTTAAAGTGTTTCCAATTTTAGCAGGTATCTTTAACTTTTTAATGGAGTCTCCAAACTTGAGGGGCCCGTGACTTTGTGTTTCTGTCTGTTTCATAGTCTTCACACATTTATTTAGTAACAGTACTGTAGTTGTCCAGCCACTCTTGTCCACAAACTGTCCAACAGTGTCTATTATTGCTGAGCTAAAACCTTCCGTCATGAATATTTCTGCATCTGTTGATGATTCTTTGGTGTATAGAGTTATATTGACACAACATGTCTGTTGTGTCATCTGTAATTTTAACCTGTCATTCACGAGAGGACCCAAATTTGG